GGGTGGATTTTTATCATTGTAGGGTGGGGTTGTGTACACACTGCCAACACACATTTATGCCCAAACACCTTGCAAAAGGGAATTTTGCATAATAGTTCCCCTTTAAGGCAAGTCATGTCACTCGGCGGCCATCTTAGAAACGCCTCTCTGGCATGCAAGTGCAGCTCCTATCTTTTTGAATGGGGAAACATCAAATTCTCCAAAACTGTTCACTAAGCTTACGAATACTTCTAGATGGCGTAACGTTAGCTGGATCACGAACAGTTGGCACTGCTCCATCCTTCAGGAGCAATTTTTGTGCAAAACCTGCTTTATATTGACCCTCATTCACAAAGCAGTCCGGTGTAAAATGATTTGCGCAGACATAAACGAATTTCTGTAGAGTTGAGGGAGCATTTTCTTCGAAAACAAAATTAATCCACCTCGTCTTCAGCGGCTCAGATTTTGGGGATAAATGGAGAGAGCTATGTGGATTAATACATCCAGCTACAGAACACCTAAAACGCTTCAATGAAATCCGACAACAACGGTATCATAAATGTTGTTTATTTTGCTCAAATAGCGTAAAAAAAAAGCTTATTTTTCAGACTAGATCAGCCAGTGCGCATGCGCAGTCCTAACCGCACATCTTAGAGCGTTGACTGTTCTTATAGCAACCGGGACTTCCAACGGCAGCTGACTTTACCGATAAGCGATTGGCTCTTTTGCTCAGAAGGTGGGGCTTCGTTTGATAGAGCGGCCATATTGAGTGTTGCATTTTTCCCCATTCAAATTTATACGAGTGACACGTCTTGGGTATTCTATAGTCTTTGGTATAACCTTTAAAGGAATAGGTCACCCAAAAATGAAAATTGATGAAAACGTATTTAAGCTGCAGGCCATACCAGATGTAGATAAGTTTGTTTCTTCATGGGAACAGATTTGGAGAAATGTAGCATTACATCACTTGCTCACCAATGGATGCTCTGCAGTGAATGGTTGCCGTCAGAATGAGTGTCCAATCAGCTGATAGAAACAGTCCATCAAATCATGTCTTAAGAAGTAAAAATCTGCTTGTTTGTAATAAAAAAAAATCATCATTACAACTTTAATCCGTTGATAAAGTATCAGTCCTTGGTCCATAATATTGCTTTCTGCGTCGAAAAAGTCTTCTCGCTTGAATCAGGAGAGAAATATGCATAGATCAAACACTGTTGTTATCAGCTGTTTGAACTCTCATTCTGACGGCACCCATTCACTGCAAATGATCCAATTGTGAGCAAGTGATGTAGTGTTGAATTTCTCTGAATCTGATTTGATGGAGAAACTTGGATGCATCTTGGATGGCCTGAAGGTGAGTACATTTTTTTTTTAAAGAGTCATTTGCTGTGTACATGTAACAATAGTTGAGCGTCTTTGTGCATAAAAATAAGTTCATCTCTTTAAAACAGTACAACAACCTGTATTAATGATACTTTAAAATGCAGTAATTCTCTTTTTCAGACCACATGCACACAGAAACTCTCCTCTGCACATTTTAGAAAATAATTATGAATCACGTCAGAATAACCCAAGTTGTGACCAAATTTCATGATGCATTGCATCTTTTCCTAAAGAATCGAAAACATAATTTGAATTGTTGTCAGAGCAAATTTTTACACCCCTAGTAGTCTGGCTTTGAGTAAGGGAGCTTTGTCTGGTTTTGCGTTAATGTGATTAATCGCTTCAGTCTTATTAAATGCAATGTTTTCTGTGGCCCTGAATAACATTACTCATGTTCTGTTGCTCGAAAACATCCGTAAAAACATCTAAACAAGGGTGAGTTCAGACTGAGTGTGTGCTAGAATAGGCCTGTACTTGTGGGTGATAATGATATTAGTCAAGCACCAATACATGCTAATTATGGATGTCTGCTGTTTTAATCTGGCACTAATGAATTAATTCTGGTATTTCCAGCAAACCCTTTTCTGAGATTTGAAATGGATATCGGTTCTACTAGAATTCACTGTGCTGAAACTAAGTGTGTAGACAGTGAATTAGCCGGTCTGATGGTGGGATGCATTGGGCAGTTCTGCTGCAGGCTTAGATTTAAACCTGACAGCTAAAAGTGGATTTTGTTTTTGTGTCACCTCTTAAATCAAGCCTGTATAATATCCTCTGTGGATATTCTTTCTACAGAACAGCAAGTGTTTTTAAAGGCCTCACTGAAAGCATCAGCTTTGCCCACTCAAACTAGCTTAAAATCTGGTTTCAGGCCAATTTAAATTGGCAAGCTGGTGCGCATGATTTTTCAGTGCTGTACAATAAACGGCGGGTCGTCATTGGTCATTTGGGACTTTCTAACCTGTTACGACGAAGACTGATATAATTAGCCTCGTTTCTCTGTCCTCATTTAGTTTTAGGCCCTTGTTCCAAGCTTGTACCTTGTGTTTACTAGACACCGCAAACTAACATTTTGCATGAATTTGCATGCAAAAGATGCCTACATATTGTCTTTTTAAAAAAAATAAATAAATAAAAAGCAGTTGATTGTAAAAAGTAGGGATATGCCGGTATCAAATTTTCATGTTGCGATTTAATTGCTAATGCTTTTATCACGGTATACGGTATTATCACGATATTGAAATTTAGTTTTTAAAAAGTGCTGTCTTATGATATACATATATTACATATATATTACAGTATAACAGGTTTAATAACATTTTTCTTATAACAAAAATAACTGAACATTTAAATGCAATAAAGCAATACAGAAAAATGTATAAAGTTAAAAGTTTTACACAGATTAAAGCGCAAAAGAACTATGAAGACCAATAGGTATCACTTTACAATAAGACCTCATTAGTTAAACTTAGTTAATGCATTAACATTCAAAATGAGCAATAGCTACATTTGCTACAGAAGTTATTAATCCTTGTTTAAAAAATACAAGTCTTGCTCATTAAATAACACAGTTGCAACTTTCGATTTTAACAACATGTTATTAAATATTGGAATACCTAAGATTAATGAATGTTCAGAAGAATTTTTCATTGGCAGTTTATGTTAACTAATGAATTAACTAATGTTAACTAATGAAGCCCCAATGTAAAGTGTGACCGAACAATAAAAAATCAAAACACTTTCAAACAATATCTAGGGCATGTTGTAGTCCAGATTAAAATGTAAAAAAAAGTTTGAAAATAAATAGCCTATTAAGTCTAAATATTAAGTATATTTAATAAGTATTTGGCGCTGTGATGAACATCATAGCAAATACACAAATCTGAATGGCTATTTAAATAATTTAAACA